ACGCATGTCAGGCGAGCGCGCTACCGCTTGAGCCACATCCCCTGCCCAATGATATCTAATATTGTCAAGGAAACATTTTGCTCAAATACAGTTGGTTAAGACACCTTCTGTATCTCCTCACTTTAATAAACACTGATAGTGTGTTTATTCTGAACTATTCCTCAAGTTAAGGATCCTCCCTTTATATATATCCTAAGCTGGGGGCTTCCCAATGCCTTACCTGTTGGGATGGCCCACCAACCCCACGGACTGGTCCAGCAAGACCTGCAGGAGCCTGGGGCATAGGAACACCAGCTGGGATTCCTCTGCCAGCAGCCCTGCCAATTCCTGGGCCCCCAGCAGCTCCAGCAAGTGGCACTCGAGCAATACCAGTCTGAAAAATAAAGAAATATGCTCAGTGGCTTAAAGAATCAGAAGTATACTTTGGCGTATCATTGCTAAGAACATTCCTCAGATTTATAAGGCATTAAAACAGCTTATAAATATTACCTGCCCACACGTGCTAATACCATTCTCCCTCTACCAAACATATGCCTGCCTATCACCACTGAAATCTAGAAGAAAATGACAAAAACTGTCTATATACACTCCTATGAAAATTGATTTCAGAGTAAAAGCCTAAGGTTCCATTCAGAAGGATTTCACCTGGCCAACAAAGGGACATAAGATCCACTCCTCATTCTTACTCTCACCTGCTGGACAACAGTGGGCAAATTCTGAGACTCAAGTTTTCTCATCTGCAAATGACTGGGTTATAGTAGAACTGTCTGTGGTCATAAAGACTTACAATGGGCTACACTAAAGTAGCCAACTCTACTGGAAGTACCAAGCATTATGAATAGATACACATGCTTTGAACAACAACAACAACAACAAAAAAAAAATGGTAACATCTCTTGCAGATTTTATAACTGAAAAAAGTTGCGATTTAAGAGTCCAAAAAAGGGAAAATGGCTTGAATAAATTATTACTTTGTACTCTCTTGAGAAAATATCTTTGACTTACAACAAAAATAAGTGGAAAAACATTTACAAACTCACAAGATAGCAAAATATCACATGCATATTACATGTTAAGTATAAAACATACTTACATGGGTTAAAAAAATTGGGTTCGGTTTTTTTTTTTTTTTGGCACCTTTTTAAATTAAAAGTTGGAAAAAAAAACTTGGGTTAGATTCTCTAAAGCCTGCTCTATTTATAAAGGTAGCTTGGTGTTTACAGAACCACGATGGGGATCAAATGTCAGTTTCATCATTTCCTAGTTGTGACATCTTAAGCAAATTACTAAACCCCAATTTGTTTCATTATAAAAATGAAGGCAGTATATCTCAATATTAAAACAAAGTACTGAAGTGCCTGGTACACAGCAGATGCTCAATTAACACTATTATTTTATAATATAATTATAAAAAACACAATATAGATGTATTCTATTTTAGGGGGTTAAGAATTTTTAAGATCCTCCTAGTCTTTGTCATCACATTAAGAAATTACGCAGATGGCCTTAGGTACCTCCTCCAATGATTCTATATCAACTGAAGAAGAGGGAAGCTTTAATTCAGAAATACTCCAATTCTATCCTTCTCCACTTCTTACTTGCAGGGTAACCTCTTTAAGATTCTAATGGGCTGGGTATGACGGGTGCTCGCCTGTGATCCCAGAGGCTTAGGAAGCTAATGCAGCAAAATCCTGAGTTCAAAGCCAGCCTCAGCAACAGCGAGCCGTTAAGCAACTCAGTGAGACCATGTCTCTAGGTAAAATACAAAAAAATGGCTGGGGACATGTTTCAGTGGTGAGTGCCCCTTAGTTCAATCCCAGGTACCCTGCCACAAAAAGTTTCATAAACACGGGGGTGGGGGGATGGACAGTGGACAAGTCCCAGAGGATGCCTGTGAGGAATGCAATGCAATGCAATGCAGGGCTCATGGAGGGTCTCCATAGGCTTCTGGCTCAGACTCACATCTTTGGGAGGGGGTCCTTCTACTGTCATCGAGACCAAGTTCTCCCCTCGAAGCAGCACCAGACCAAGGACTCGCTTCTCTTCCCTTTCTGCTTGTTTGGAGTTCTTTGGCCTAAAGACAGGTTTAGAAGAAACAGAAAACAGCAAGCATTACAGAATAGGTCAAGTTTAGGTTCACCTGCCTAGGGGCCTCCAAGATCTCCTTTATGCTGTATCTCCTGACAAATGATAAACAGGTCCTCTGGACAGTCTCTATAGGCTGCATATTGTGACCCCTTAGCTGTTCTTTTCCTACCAAACCAAGAAGATGCACAGACCAAAAGACAGGACAAGAGGCAATAAAGTCCAGCCACGGCTCAGATGCTCTTTCCAATATAACTGTGAAGGCTCTTTCCTTACCTTAAGGTCTTGCCAATGCCAAGAGGCAGCCTAAACTATTCCACAAGTAAAGAAAATTCAACCTACTCCACTTCCATGCAATATCCTTCTAGGATAGATTCAACCTCACTGGCCTTCATATCTGTCCCTCATCTCACATCAGAAATAGAAAAAAAATGATAATAAAGGAAAAGGTAAGAAAATTTTCAAATATACAGAGGCTGAATTTTCTCATGTGAAATAAAAATTTTCACATCTATTTCTCAAAAGCAAAAAAAAAAAAAAAAAAAAAAAAAACCAGAAAATCCCAAACAGCAACAACCAGAAAAAGATGAACAAAATTAAAAATGTAAACTAAAACAAATAACTGCAATGGAATAGGAAAAAGGTATGAGGGATGACAGATGAGAGAAAGCCAAAGCCAAGATCCTCAAAATAAAGACAAAAATATTCTGATTTAAAAAAAAACCACACAACTTATTTTGTCATTTTATATTCTGTTAGCTGGTTTTCTGTAGATGAACTTTTTTTTCCCCTTATTTTTTAATAATAAGCATATAGTGCCTTTTCATAAGAAAATCTTATGGGTAAATATTTTTCAATAAACATTTTTATACACGAGTTTCATCTAAAAAACAGAAGGGAACCCATTGAGATAGTTCCCAGCAATCTGCTGGCCTGTTAATATATACTCGGCACTCAAGGATCTGTACTTTTTTTTGGTTTTGGGTGGGGGTGGTATACTGGGGATTAAACTTGGGTGATTTACCACTGAGCTACATCCCCAGCCCTTCTTATTTTTTATTTTGAGACAGGCTCACTAAGTTGCTTAGGGCCTTGCCAATATATTGAGGCTGGTCTCAAACCTGCAGCCTGTTTCCCAAGTTGTGGGGATTACAGGCATGCAGCACCACTACACCCAGTGATCTCTACATTTATTCTACTACACTTCTTGACTTTACAACACAAGAGCTGCCAAAAGAATTAAAGGGGATTTACAGTTAGTGACATCATAATATGGACACTGCATATGATAAAAGTATGCATATAAATATAAAGTCATGGGCTGGGGTTGTGGCTCAATAGTAGAGCGCTCACTTTGCATGTACGAGGCACTGGGTTCAATCCTCAGCACCACATAAAAATAAATAAATAAAATAAAGGTATTGTGTCCAACTACAAAATATAAAGTCACATAACCCCTTTGGGCCTCAAGATGTTTTGAATGTACAATAGGACAGAAAACTCAACACAACAGTTTGGCCAGAAGCTTAAGACTGGTGAGACTTAAGGGAGTTAGCCAATAACATAGAATTATTGCAAAGCAGAAAACAGCTCTGATTGTCTCTAAAATGCCAATAAAAATCACTGGCCCCAAACCCAAATGGGAAGCAGAGCACTTACCCTGAAGAGGGTGGTCAGAGGCTTCTTAAAGCAGTTTCAGACCAGGCTGCATTAGGAGAGCCCTTTAGGCTACAGCTTTACAAATAGGTAATGAGGCCAGAAAATCAAGCTCTCCCCCCTCACACACCTGTGGGGAGAACATGAGAGCCCTTTACCCCAGTACCCAGGGGCACGCAAAGTCAGAAAAACAAAAAGCCTAGCAGCCCTCCTTATAACCTACTCTGCTAGAACTAGAGAACAAGACTTGCTGAACTAAGGACGGAGATTTCTTAGTGTTCAATGTTCCCATTTAAGTCTGCCCTCGAAAACAGGAGAGCATGGAGGAACCAACTAGCTACTTCATCACATGTGACTTGTTCCAACCACCCAATCCCCTCCCCTTCTCCAGTCCCCACCCCCAACAGCCCTCTCCTCACTTGATCTTCCTGAACTCATCACAATCACAGAGGATCAAATTCATATGCTTGTCAAAAGCCTTGAAGGTGCCAATGAAGATCCGGCCATCTTGCAGGATGCATCTCATCCTGTAGTCGATGTGCTGCAGCATCTTGCTGCTCTTGCCCACAGTCTGCAAGGAGAAATCAGCAAGGTTGAGCTAATTCTTTTGAACTCACACATGCTTGGGCCTCCCTAAAATCTTCCACTACAGCTTTATTTTTAATGTGCCTATCTTATCTTTCCCAATAGAGTCTTAGCTCAGTTTCCACCCACAGCCCTTTCCTGGGAATTATCCCATGCTACCCTCTTTGATGTCAGCCTTGACCTCTGTCCAGTAATTTGCTTTCACCATTCCCTTAAAAATCAGTGTTTCTCATATTAAAAATGCCTCTATGTTGTGTCCATTTCAGGGAATAGTGTAGGATGCCCCCAAACTAATCAAATCTACCTATCCTAGAGAGTAAGCTATCTGTGTAGACTATAGGGTTATGACTATGGGACATCCAAATCCCATTTTAAAAACTGAGTAAAAAGTTGGAGGACTAGCCCTAAAAAATTTTTAAAAATTAAAAAAAAAAAAAAGGTTGTTTTTGGTGCCAGGGATTGAACTCAAGGGCACTTAACCACTGAGCCATATCCCCAACCCTTCTTATTAAGACAGGGTCTCACTAGATTGCTTACAGCCTCGATAAGTTGCTGAGGCTGGCTTTGAACCTGAGATCTTCAGGTCTCAGCCTCCCAAGCTGTTGGGATTAAGGTGTGAGCCACCACGCCTGGCTGGCCCTAAACATCTAATCAAGAAGCTTATTACCAGAAAGTTGATCAGCTTAGAAATGAGGCCAATAGAATACCCAAATCAAAAGTTTGTTAGTGTGCCTCCAAGACTTTCTGAGAGTGGTGGCCACGGTACCAACCAGTTTGGGCACATAATAAGTCTTTAAGATCACAGAACACTTAATTCTTAACCCAACACTTCTACTTTCACAAGTTAGCTTTCAGTGTAGCCTTGCTAAAATAAAGACTATATAGACCCCCAACATATGAAATGTCAGGTGGCCATGGCAGTTGTATTTCTCACTAGAAACAAACCACCCAGCATTTGATCTCTATAATCAGCTTCTCATCAATCTGACTGTTGTAAGCCAGCCCTAACTTATCCAAGGGCTTTTTTTTTACCAGGCATAATGCTTGCTGTTTATCTCAGCTTGAATGTTTCTGAACACTTATAAAAGAACTTTGAATCCCCTAAGGCACTGCCTGCTACAATGAAGACCAAAGTTATGTGGTTCTTTCCCCTTCAAATGGTCATTTTAAATAGCTTCTGTCCACAGGGATCTGAACCTGTAGGGCAACATTCATTTGTCTATTTACCTTATAGCAGCTGTCACTGGAAGCTCACTATGTAGTCAGGCACTGCTTATCTCATTTAATCCTCAAAAAACTGAGCCCATTTGCCAGGCATGTTGGCACATGCCTGTAATCCCAGCAGCTTGGGAGGCTGAGGCAGGAGGATCACAGATTCAAAAGCCAGCCTCAGCAAAGGCGAGGCACTAAGCAACTCAGTGAGACCCTGTCTCTAAATAAAATACAAAACAGGGTCAGAGTTGTGGCTCAGTGACCGAGTGCACTGGAGTTCAATCCTGGTACCAAAAAAAAAAAAAAAAAAGAAATTTAAAAAAAAAAAAAAAAAAAAAAAAAAAAAAAAAAAAAAAAAAAAGGGAGGGGGGGCATTATCATACCTATTTTACAGATGAGGCCACTGAGGCCATGATCGATCATATAACTTGACATGCCACAGAGCTGACAAACTGTACTGAAACTGTCAGCCAATTCTCCAAAGAATGTTATACTAGGTTTCCCTCCTTCCAGTTTATCTGCTACATAGCAAAGCCATCTTTCGAAACCCAACTAAGTTCCTAACATTTTGCTGGTTAAATCCTTCAAAGGCATGCCTCATCGCGAACAAGACAAAGTAACATGCAAGACCCTTAGTAACCAGGTTCCTGCCAATTCCTCCCATCTCTTCTCCCTTTCCCCTCCAGCATCCTCCAGTCGTCCTGTCTTTGTTCTTAGGTTCTCCAGGTCTATAACATTCCCTCCCATTTTCGCCGAGAAAAGTGACAATTTTCCACAAACCATCTACTGGAGAAAGCACTTTTACTCGCCCCTCTCCGTTACTCTCGCCTAAAGCTACATCCCCCACACTGAACTGTAGCATTCCATCATCCACGTCCTCTACTAGAAAGTGAACTGGGAAGTCAGATACACGCAAACATAAAAAGTGTGCTTAACAATCGAGTCGAACTCCTCCTCCGAACAATCTCACCCTCCCGCTTCCTCCTCCCCACCCCCTAGACCTTTCGGCAACTGCTTTTCGGGCTCCCACCCTTTTCACAAGCCTGGGCCTTATAAGGGATCCTCTCTAGTATGGGGCTTCAGGGTCTGATCCGAAACTCCGGACACATTTATTTAGCAAAAGTTTTCTCCGTGCCTGCCGGGTCCCTCAGTGCCTACGCGGTTCTACCTTCGCCACTACCGAGCAAGCGGGCCTCAGACCCCGGATCTCGGCCTTCCTTCCCTACCCCCTGTCCCGCCGGTCAAGGTTCAGGTCTTTTTGGCCCGGACCGAGTAGCCGCGGCCTTCGCCGCCATTAGCGGCTCCAACCCACAACTTTTTCCCCAGCCCGCGGCGTCCCCCACTCCACAACAGACTCGAAAGCTCCTGTGCCCCTAGTCCACGTCTTCTCACCATGGTGGCGGTTCTGATGGCTCCGATTCCCGCCGGATTCGCCTCCGCAGAGGCCTAGACACCCGCCAACAACTAGATTCCCGCCGTCGTTACCGGAAATGCAGCCGCCAGCAAAATGCGGTCGGGTAGAAAGCTACTTCCGGTCCCGGCACAGGGCCCTTGAGTTCCTACCGGAGGGCGGACTTGCGTGTGGGGGTGGAGGCGGAGGTGGGTTGGGCTGGAGAGTGGGTGGTGGTATTAACAACAAAGAACGCACCCCCGCTGGAGCGGCTTGAGTCACAATCACCTTTCTTCCCCTGCTTATCAGTTAACGGTCCTCATCTACCACTCTCCCGGACATTCTCCTCTACAGCAACTGTTCCTATCTAGCTTCGCTGCTCCTGCCTCAGCACCTCTGCATTTGCTTTTGCCACTGTCTGGAATAATAGCCTCCCACGACTCGAGCTATGTGTAATACTAAAGCAATCACCCTCAAGATTTAAGCTTAAACCTGGCATGCAAGCCTGAAATCCCAGCAAGTTTAGGAGGCTCAGGGAGGAGAACAGCAAGTTCAAGGCCAGCCTCAGCAACTTCACGGAACCCTAAAGAGATGCTGTCTCAAAATAAAAATAATAAACGAGCTGGGAATATAGCTAAGTGGTTAGGCACCCCCGAATTCAATCCAAAAAAAAAAGGAAAAGATTTAAGCTTAAAAAATATTTCCCCAGTGAAGACTTCTCTGGACATCCTATTTAAGTCCACAACCTTCCCACCCACCTCACCCCAATCTCTGCTACACCCCCAGCCTCCACATTTCCTCCCCTCCACCCCAGAAAACTCAGCAAAAATCATCTTGAAAAAGATAATTCTAAAACTAAAATAGAGGAAGAATGATGGAGGTCCTGAATTCAAAGTTATGACTCAAGCAGGACATTTGTCAGTTAAATGAAAAGGCCCAAATGGGATGGAACTTAAGACTTTTTGGAGTGGGGTCAGATGGTAGCCCGGAAGGATGTAGGAAGCAATTCGATTTGAGAATGAGCTCCCCAGTTCTCTAAAATACCCCACCAGAGACATCTAGAACTTCACCCTTATTAGTAGGGCTTTCCAGGTGCTTCAGGGATTTGAATTTAAGACCACGGATCTCATGTAGGTAATCAACAGTACAAAGATAGCTCCTCCTCCTCCTTGGGCACCAAATCCAAAGGACTGGGAAGTGTGGGGCTTGTACCTCCCTTTCTGAGGGTTCATGCTGCCATGGGTGAAGGAGCCCTGATTCCAGCAACCCTTCCAAGAGATGAAGCCTCCAGTGAACAGTATCCCAGAGAAGCCACTTTTCAGGCTACAAAAAAAACCTCTTTACCCCATCCCTTGGCTAGGCAGGGCCGAAAGTCCTTTTCCTAAGCCATATCTGAAGTTGCTACCTTTAGTGTGGAATCAATTTTTTAAAGAAATCTAGCTAGGCATTGTGGGGCACACCTGTAATCCCAACAACTAAGGAGGCTGAGGCAGAAGGATCACAAGTTCAAGGCCAGCCTTAGCAACTTAATGAGGCCCTAAGCAATTTAGCAAGTCTCTAAGCAACATAGCAAGATCCTGTCTCAAAATAAAAAATAAAAAAGGCTGGAGATAGCTGGGTGCGGTGGCACAGGCCTATTATCCCAGTAGCTTGGGAGGCTGAGGCAGGAGAATTGCAAGTTCAAAACCAGGCTCAGCAACTCAGTGAGACCCTGTCTCTAAATAAAATACAAAACAGGGATGGGGATGTGGCTCAGTGGCCAATTGCCCCTGAATTGAATCCCTGGTACAAAACAAACAAACAAACAAACAAAGGCTGGGGATGTAGTTCAGTGGTTAGGTGCCCCTGGGTTCAATCCCCTGTACCAAAAAGGAAAAAAAAAAGTGTATAATTATTTTAAAATGTGCACCATTTTCATCTTTCCCAATGACAAGACACAGGAAGAGGTATTGGAACTATCTGGAACAAGAGCCTATTTCTTCATTCTTCAAACCCCTGGAGAATATATCCCCATTGACACTCTTCCCTCCTTCCAAGCTTTCCAGTTCTGACCAGATGCAGAGACTTGGTGCCATAGCGGGTAGTTCTAGCAAAGGCACATGGAAATGTGACAGTGTGTTGCTCCACATTCCCAGGATTCACACCCTTCCCAAAGGCTGATGCCCAGAAGTCACTAGAAAGTTGACTCCACAGATAATGTGGAGGTAGAGGCCCTGGAGCTAGTGCCTCCCTTTTGGCTCCTTTTCTGCCCCCTCCTTTGATGGGCTCTGCATTTTCTGACTCTCCAAGACAGATATCCATTCTGTGGGCTTGGAAAACTCCAGTTGGGCAAACAAATTTGCGGGAGCCTAGGCAGTCCCTTTCCAGTGAATAGCTATTAGCCCAAACAGAACCAGAGCCAGGGCAGACAGAGTTGTCAAAAATCTGGACGAGACAGAGGGATGATTTGGAAAGTCATTAGCAGAACAGGATCCTAGGATGGGAAGGCTGAGGGGACATGGTATTGTAGCTGCCCACAGGGGTCTTTTGACACTATTGTTGGTCTGACATGGAAAGTGGCTGTGCAGTCCGAAGCACTGACTCATGCTTAGAGAGCAGTCTGGGCCTAGCTGAAGGACCTCTCCCTGGAGTACAGAAACCTGCAGAGCGGGTGTGGCTAAAGACTCCCTGGAAGGAAAGGATGTGAACAGACAGCTAAGGAATAGACATCCTTCAGGGGATAGAGAAGGATTCAGCAGAGACAGAAGGAAGGACACTCAGGAGAGGGAGCTTTCACAGCGCAGAAGCAAGTGGAGTGGCATCAAAGACCCTGGAGGCCCACAAAATCCCCTCTCTGCTGCTGGCCGGCCTCCAAAATCTAATCACTCCCTCTCATGTAAAGGACTAGACTCCCCAAGAAATCTAGTCTAGGATTCTCAAGGATTCTATCCAAGCAGGAAACCCAGGCCACGAATTTGAATTCCTTGACCTTTCCAGTCAGATGAGTGACAAGGGCCCACAGCCTGAACTTCTTAAAGAGAATATGACCAGAACAAGGGACAAGAAACCATGGGAAAGAACTGGTGTATGAAAAGAAAACAAGCGGATCATTCTCTGATGACTTAAATAATGCCTACTTTTTTATTCCATCTGATTACAAAAGTAGAAAAACGTCTATGTAATTGTTATTGCCTTCTTTACTCTCATTCAGAGGGTTGGGACTGGGGATATGGTTCAGTTGGTAGATTGCTTGCCTTGCATGCACAGTCCCTGAATTCAATCCCTAGTACCACCAAAAAAAAAAAAAAAAGAGTACCTACCGTTGGGTTAAGACTTCTGCTGAATGGGCAAGGCAGTGATTTAGGGTGGCAAGACTCTGCCCTCTTATCAGCTGAAGAAGAAAATCAGGGGAAAACTGCTTCTACCAAAAAGCTGTTCTCCTGGGAAGTGTGCCTGTTTCATAAGTCCTTGCCAGTCCCCTTCTGCCCTCAGGACACCCAGCGCTGCTTCTCTGTATACCCTGACGTTTGCTGAGGGATGACGCAGCCAAAGCCTCATCCACACCTTTCACACCTAAGGTGCTAGATTAGATTCCCTGGAGACAGAGATGGAGAATCAGGGTCCACCATGGAGTGAGGGCAGGACTGGGCAGAGGAAGAGGTTGACCTGCAACATATTTGCAACTGAGAGATCATTCAGTCCAGAGGGGATTTCTGGATCTGGAATGATCCTTGGGAACAGGGGTGGAGTTTTAATTACTGGTATCCATAGGTCACTGGCCAAGAGCCCCTCTTGGGAAAGGGCAGAGCCCCAGATTCTGTAGCTCGCTGTGGCTAAGAGCTGGTGCTAGAGCTGAACCCATCTCTGCAAGTAGTAGCTTTTTTCTCTCAAGCAGCTGGGGTCTTGGCCTTGAAAAGGTCACCTGGGCAGGGTCCACAGCATCCCCACTCAGAGTCTCCCTGTGGCATGTGACCATAAAAGGCCATCTTGTGGTGACTTTCACTCTTTTGCAGATGCTCACCAACACCCTGAACATGTGACACTTATTCCTCAGGGTTGTCCCTGGATGTTCTCAAGTCTGGACTTACTGCTAATGCTCTCCCCACCCACAGTCCCTGCACACACAAACCTTTCCCCCTAAGTGTGTCCTCTTGTGCGTGGTGAGGCTGACCTGTGGCTACAGAGTTATCCATGCTGTACCCTCCCTCATGATGTTCCTCTTCTCCACGTGTCCTCTCATGTCTAAGAAGGGTGAGGCACCTCTGAAACATCACTCATACTCCACACACATGTGGGGACCATTTCCTATGTGTCTCTCTGGTATAAGTTTGACTGAAGGCTCATGTCTTGCCCAGAATTCCTGCCCAGACACACAAGATTCCCCTCAGTGTGTCTTCTAGTGTCTGATGAGATTTGATTTCTGGCTAAAGCCTTGCTCACACTCCCCACAAACATAATGCTTCTCCCCGAGTGTGTCTTCCAGTGGACAAGAAGGTGTGACTAAAACCTTACCCACATTCAGTGCACACAAAAGGCTTCTCTCCTGGGTGTATTCTCTCATGTTGGAAGAGGGCTGATTTGCAGCAAACGCCTCACCCACACTCCCTGCAAACAGAGGCTTCTCCCCCGAGTGTGTCCTCTGGTGGTTCCTGAGGGTCCCCTTACCCCCCGAAGCCTCGTCCACCTTGCAGGGGCATGGAGGGTTTCTCACCTGAGTGTGTCCTCTGGTGTCTGAAGAAAGATGGCATCTGGCCAAAGCCTTCCCCATGCTTGCTGTAAATGCAGAATTTCTCCCCTAAGCAAGTCTTCTGATGTCTACTGATAGACTTATTTCTAAAGCTTTTCCCCACTCCCTGTACAAGAGAGGTTCCTCTTCTGAATGTGCTCTCTGGGCTCTGTGGAGGCTGAGCTTTTGGCTAAAGACTCCACCCATTCTCTGCACACATATGGCAAGTATGTCCAGTGGTGTTCTGATGATGTCTGTAAAGCCTCACCCACCATCACTGCAAACACAGGACTTGCCCAAGAGGGTCCTGGCGTTTGTAATGAAGTTTGGCATGGGGTTACAGTCTGGCTCACACTCTCTACAGCTGACTGCTCCAAATCTCAAGGTTTCTAACTGCTCCAACCCTTTGTCCAATTGTACAAGGTTAACCCTTTGGGCTGAGTAGGGCTCTAATTCTACACCGCATTAACTTCTCTAGGATTTGCTGACTGTCCTTGGAATGTACTGGGTGATGTGTTCAAGGTCTCTCTCTTCACCATCCTCCCACACAAGGGTTTGAAGCTACCTTCTCCCTCTTAACTTCTGGGCTTTCATTCTAATAACATGGCTGTTACTTCTGTTGCTCCTAACACCCTGGGCTGGAATCTGCTGGAGGGAAGAGACCTTCTGCACATGACTCTGGAAAGATCTGAAGCACCTGCTGTTGAGGAACTGTTGACAGGAGAAAGCCAGAGGCAGGAGGAACAGGGGAGATTTCTGGCTTTGGCTCTGCTGGAAAAAAAGGAGTTTTGGGTTAGAGGAGCCACAGCAGGGTCTGAGCTCTGCTGTCTTGTCTTGGGATAGAGAGGGTCTTACTGTCACACCTGCCATTGATAATATATATACAACACAATTTGTTTCCCACTCTTAACTCTTGAATGTTCCACTTTTACATGCGACATTTTCTATTAAAATCCAGAAAATCCATACCAAAAACATCTTCTATGTGTCAGATAGGGAATAATTAGTCTATTCCTTCTATTAAAATCATCTAAGCTACCACTATCACCAAGTCAAATGTCACTTCCTCAATGATTTCAAATATATAATTTCAAAATTTAGCCAGCCAAAGTCAGGCACAGTGGCACAGGCCTGTGATCCTAGCAACTCGGGAGGCTGAAGCAGGAGTATTGCAAGTTTGAGGCCAGCCTCATCAACTTAGCAAGACCCTATACAACTTAGTGAGACCCTTTCTCAAAATAAAAAATTTTTAAAAGGGGGTATAGCAGCCAGAGATATAGCTCAGTGCTAAAGCACCCTGGGTTGGTACTTGGGACCAAAAACAAACAAACAAACAAAAAATCAGATAGCCACCCTGTCACTCATACCATTTATCCTGCTTTATCTCATTATTTTTTTAAATATTATTTTTAGTGATGAACACAACATCTTTATTTATTTATTTTTATGTGGTGCTGAGGATAGAATCCAGTGCCTCATATGTGCAAGGCAGGTGCTCTACCACTGAGCCACAACCCCAGCCCTCATTAGTTTTTACTATAAAGTGATTATTACCCTTTAACATACTGTACTATAATACCTCTGCATATGAAGCCTTTTGTTTATTGTCTGTTGCCTTACACTAGAAAGTAGGCCTAATGGAGCAGGAGTTATTATTTCACTTATGAATATGTTTCTTGTGTCTATCTACAACTGAAAAAATATTTTTTTAAAAATGTGTTCTATGTGTCTAGAAAATTTTCTGGAAGATAGCAGGGGATCAATAAATCTCTACTGAATTAAGGAAAGGAAAGAAAACAGCCTTACCCAACAAGAGCAGATTCCTGGAGATTTCTAGCATTGCTTCTTTGTATAGGTTCCTCTGCTCAGTGCTCAGTTTTCCATTTGGCTCCCGGCAGATTACAATCACACTCCTGAATGTAACCAGTACCTACAAAAAGGAGTAAGTGAATGTACACCAGGCCACCACCACTTTCTCCAGTGTGAGGACCACAGCTCTCCGGCCCTGGAAAGTATGGACCTGTGAGAATTGTATCTATTTCATTTCAGGGTACACAGTTCTCTATCTAACTTTTTCTGGGCATGACTACATGCCTGGCTTTCTGTTAAAATCTGTTTAGCACATAAGTGACACAAAACAAATTCCAGACCTTCAAAATTTTACAGTTTCTTTGGAAAAATGATGTGTGCATCAATAGAAAACTGAAGCAGTGTTCAGGACAGTGACCTTCAGGCTCCATAAGGGAGGGATTCAGAGATGGAAGAACAGAGGATGGGAGAAGAGAAGAAAAACAACCATCAAGGATGTGGAACTTATGCTGGGCACCAGGGGATGGCAAGGATTTAGAGAAGAAAATATTAGAAAACTTTTTTTAAAAATTTTTATTTTGCAGGACACAATGGCTCATACCTGTAATCCCAGTGGCTTTGGAGGCTGAGGCAGGAGGATCATGAGTTCAAGGTCAGCCTCAGCAATTGAAAGGCCCTAAGCAACTTCTGGAGACCCTGTCTCTAAATAAAATAGTCAGTACTATTAGATGGCAGACCTAAGGGAAGAAAAAGAGGCTATAAGATCAGAACTCCGTGATGCTCAGGAAGCAGATCTTCTGAAATCTGGGATGGGGAAGTAGATAGTTGACTCAGCTATGACCTAAAACATGGAGAAGCTGGATATTTGGCCCCCTCTTCACTTCTCCAGACCATCAAAAATTCTTACCTTCTGCCTTGTGATTTTGAGTCAGCTACTTCATGGTCTCCACATCTTTATGGTCTCTACATTTTTAAGGTAAATCTTCACCTGCTTCTGATCTCCCAGGCTAAAGGGATCAAACAGCATCATGGCCTCACAGTCAGTCCAGAGTATGGCTTAAATTTCCATTAGAAGGCCAACGAGATGTGATTTCAGCTCAAGATGGAGTTCTGCTGCTGCAGTGACCTCTTCCAACCCTAACTCTAAAAGCCCATCCTGTTTCCATGCATCCAGGGTCCATGGGATAGAGAAGCCATGTGATGTTGCTGGGGCCTTTATTGTGGTCCCTAAGCCTACGACTCTTCAGCAAGTATCCCATCCTTTCACCCCCTCTTCATTCAACAAGCATGGAGTTTCCATCTACAGGGGCTCCCTGATTTTCTGCCTTCATTCTTTTCTAGCCTGTAGGCCCTCAACTGTCTCCTGCCACTTGCTCCTTACCTTTCAAGACTTACAGGTTCTTCCATCTTTGCCTCAGTCTTTGGATCAGTCTTCGCTCTCTGAAACCCAAGTCAGAGAGAGGACAGAAGATAGCATAATGCCAGTGTAGAAGGAGCCCCTGAACGTCTCCTTCCAGACCAATCAGAACATGCAGGATTTAGCTTCTAACTCCCCCAGGCCAAGGTCCCATGTACATCCAATCCTCAATGTCTCTGTACTCTGCAAAGTTTTGGGGGTCTAAACTCAGGAGAGCTCCATGATGACTCTATTAATATAACCCCCCTTTCTATTTCTGTGTGTGCATGCCTCTTAGCTTTATCATATATGTGCATTCATGGCTTTGGAGGGCCCAAGTCTAAGTACTTGATTCACATGGTCCTGAAAGAAGCAGGTGGTGTTAGGAGGAAGGCCGCCTGCAAGAGCTCCTCCAACACTTTGTCCAGATTCTAAACCCAAGGAACTACAGTCCTCCTGTTGCTAGTACCCTTCTGAGGTACCTGAGGTGCTCCTGTGATCCATCCCACAATACCACAAGCAGAGATGCTCACTTCTTCTGTCAGCTTGGGCCTTTGACCTTGGTCACATGATACTGCAACTCCACTATATAATGTTTTTAGAATTTATATAGCCTTTACTAGACTGTGAGCTTCTTGTAATAAGAAATTTACCTCTGGGGCTGGGGTTGTGGCTCAGCAGTAGAGCACTCACCTAGCACAGGCGAGGCCCTGGGTTCGATCCTTAGTACCACATACAAATAAGTAAAATAAAGGTATTGTGTCCAACTACAAAAAAAAATAAATATTAAAAAAAAAGAAATGTACCTCTGTCATTTTGCTAGTGACCAAAATAAAACAGGTCTTCGTGATAGATTTTATCACTGTGCCCAATTATTGTTTCTCTACAGTAGTACTGTATTTCCCTGCCCAACATCAGGCTTGGCCTTGCAACTTGCCTTAGACCACGAAATGTGAGTGAAAGTAATAGTGCCACTTCTAAGCACTGCATGATTCCATCACCTCTTTTCTGAGAATAGCGTGTTTCAAAAAGGGATGCAGGTTCTACTGTGAAAAGGTCGTGGTGCAGAGCTACAAACTACACAAAAGGAGGAATAAGACTGGGTGTCAGGTTGGATTGCTATGAGAGCCCTGAGACTCACGGGTCATATATTCATACAGCACAACAGCCTTCTTTCTCCTAGCAAAACTGGCACCTGTGGCTAACATGACAAGGTGGGTGCTCTACTAGGCACAGAGCTCCATTACTCTCCACAACGCAGCCCAGAGGTAGATATCGTTCATCTTCCCATCTTACAGAGGAGGAAACCGAAGCACTAAAAGTTCAGCTTTTCTTTGACCTTAAGATTACATAGTAGCCACTGAGTGTCAGAGCCAAGCCTAGAATTCATGATTCTCATTCCAGAGAATGTTCTATAGTACCAAACAACCCTTCAAAATGTCAGTGCTTGATAGGATGAAGATTTATTTCTCACTCAGGCCCCATATCTGTCAACTACAATTGTGCCATTTGTCATCTTCCCCCCAGGATCAAGGGTAACTTGCTATTTGGAAAATGGCAAGCTGAGTGGTGAAGGGAGATAAAAGATGAAGAACCAGGCCTGGGCTCTTAAAACTTTTATTCTGCTGCCAGCCAAGTGGCACATGCCTGTAATCTCAGCAATTTGGGAGGCTGATGCAGGAGGATAATAAATTTCAGGCTGTTATTAGCCTCAAAGTTGTTGAGCAATACCCTCAGCAACTTAGCAAGGGTCTCACAAAAGTAAAAAAGGTTTGGGATACCACTCAGAGGTAGAATGCTTCTAAATTCAATCCCTAGTATCAAAAAATAAATAAAAATTTTTTAAAAATTCTACCCAAAGAGAGATTTCTGATCACGGCTCGCTGGCAAAACAAATCACATGACCACTCTTGAGTTCAACAGGGTAAGAGGTATAAATCTCTAAGGAGAGGCCACAAAGGAAGCACACCAGGATATTTGATGAATAGTAAAACATGCTGCTCCAAGGTCCTGAAGCCAAAACCCATTCTCACCGAGCCCCAGTCCTCACTACTGATGGGGATATCAATGTGCTAGGATCTGTGGCTGTGTCTAGGACACGACTGTATCTCTGCACTTGTCATACCATCGGAGAACAGGCAGGGATGCTGACCAGTAAAAAAGCTAATAATACAGAAAGAATGCTTAAATTTGGGTAAACTGACAGGCTCCAAAGGCCAATTCCACCTGGACCCAGTCATGTCACACAGGCAAAAGTTTCTTAACTTCTGTACCATGCAATTTCCATAAAATGGTAATCCTGACTCCTAACATTCAAATTGTTGAGGGAATAAAATATTGTGATGACTGTAGAGCCCAGCACCTGGCCTGTGCCAACTGCCAATCGATGGTGGTTACCATCAGTTTTTTTGATTTTCATAGCAGCTGACAAAGCCCTGGGAATCCAGCAGCCATGATGAAATGATGTTGGCACAGGATGGTGGGAACCTGAACAAGAGCCCAGTCTTAGAGGAATATTCCTTGTCAAAGCTCTTGCCCTCAAAACAGCCCTGGGGGGAAAAAAACCTGGAGCCTCCATGGGACATAGCAAAACACAAGACATCAGGAGAAACAAAGCAAATTTGCCCATGGTTTGGAGCAAAGAAGACTTATAAGGTGAAAGGTAAGTAGTACCCACCTCAGAGTAGGATGCCAAGATCCCAGAAGACTTTATAGAAAGTATTTTCCTGGTAGGCAGGGATCTGAGAAAATGGACCTGAGGAGAAAACAGGTTGTGTGAGCTTCAGGATTGTCTCCTGGCCTCAAGAGCCAGAGGAGAAATCCATAAGTTTGAAATGAAGGGGCTTCTCTTCTTAAAAAAAAAAAAAAAAAAAAAAAAACAAGAAGAAGGAAAGAAAGAAATCCAGGGTGCAATTCTGTAATCCCAGCAGCTCAGGAGGCTGAGACAGAAGGATTGTTAATTTCAAGAACAGCCTCAGTGAGGCCCCCAGCAATTTAGTGAGACTCCTATCTCAAAATTTAAAAATAAAACAATAAAAAGGGCTGGGTAGCTAGCTCGTAAAGTGCTCCTGGGTTAACTCCCCAGTTTTTGTTGTTGTTGCTTGTTTGTTTGTTTGTTTTTTAAAGCCATACATCTGTCAGAGAAGAATGAACACAGCTTCTAGGATTCAGAGCCAGGTGTGGGCATCAGAATACATTACATATTTATGCTGCCATTACATATTAATCCTTTAAATATGTATAGGCCTCAAGTTGTAATTATTAGTACTAGTTAACACTTTCTACACTCTTATTATATACCAGAGGATTCCAGGCACCAAACAAGTTTTATCTCCCAGACACTCCTGAACCGAGGCATAGTTACATATCTAGCTCAAGCTGACAAAGCTAGAAAGGGACCAGATTTGAATGCTAGTTGTGCAGTGCCATACCCTTAGCTAGTTGGGTCAGTAATAACCAACCCATAGGGAGGTCTGACAACTCTCAAAGTATATCTACACATAGGACTTGAGGGGATGTAGATGAAAAAAATATTGGCCATGAGTTAACAAATACTGAATTTGGTGATGGGTACGTGAAAGTTCACTGCACAACCTACTGGGTAGATTCAAAAGTTGTCCTTACCCCCCTAAAAAAAAATTTAAAGATAGAATTTTAATTTTCCTGCTCCATCAGAGGCTGGAAGTGATTTGGATAGTCAACCAATATCCCTTGGAGGTCCCCACCCTACCTAACCTAATATCCTCAAATACATGAGAGAAAAGCAGACAAGGAAAGGGGAAATCAATCAAACTGGCCATCCACATTACAACCAAATCAGGGATCTTTGCCACAAAGCAGAATAAGTACCTGTTGTACAAGGAACCTGGGAACAGACCTGCCCCCCATCAAAATTCTGCCTACATAAAGGCCAGTGTGGTGTAGTCCACCACAACCACTTAAGGCCAAACCACCCCTCACCATCAAAAAATAAAAAATAAACAAAACCCTGGTCTTCCAGACCAAGGGTATCTGACAGTGTGAGACTCACCTTCACCAAGCCCAGATCCCACCCCAACAAATCAAGGCATATCAAGATCTGAGACTCCCTCCTACCCACATCCACCAACTCATCACTTGGGACAATCTAGCTCCACTAATAAAAAACCAAAAAACAAAAGCTTTGGCATTCATGATCATCCTTGGGTTCCCACAACCACTGGGAGATGCAGGACCTAATGAACGCTACTCCACCCAAATCACCCTGGGATACAGGGCCCTAGCCCCACCTCCACCACAGAGGATGCTCCTCTATTTTTATGTGTTTGGCCCTGACTAAAGTCAACCTCACACCCCAAACAAATTCGGAATGCATGACTGGTACCGTCCATCCAATCCGGGAATTGTTTGGTCAAGATAATCCTACTTCCTTCAAAAAAGAAATCAAGAGTTCCAGGTCCCTGTCACCCCAGCCAAGGGAAGAAATGTCAAAGTAGCTCTAGCGCTCAGCAACTCTGGGGCTCAGGGCTGGTCACTCCCATTGCTTCACCCCCACTAGCCACACTCTATGCGTGTAAGTCTCTCACCAAGACCAGGTGGAACCAGCCCTCAGGCCATCGCCGCTGACCCACGCAGAACCACAGTTCCCAGGATCCTCGCAGGTGAGGGCTCCCCTTGGGCGCCAAGGAGCCGCTTATGGGCCGTGCAATGGATAATTTACCAGCACGATGCAATAGCTGCTGTAGCGACAGCCTCCCAGTCTCCCGCTGAAAACAGGTGCTAGTTCCCGGGAGAAGCGTCTAGCATCCTCAGCCCTTCTCCCAAAAAAGGACTACATTCCCCAGAAGCCTCTGCGAGGACTTCCGCAAACCCTGTCAGACTCGGGGGCCACGCGGCGAGGGGACTTCCGGTTATCGAGTCCGCCCTTCGGTCGCGTCGGTTAGCGGATGTGCTTTTTTCTAGGGTTTTCTGCCTCAGGAAGCCGAGGTTTTCTGCCTCACTTACCCTAAGCACCCAGTAGGTTCGACTTCGCGAACCTAGGAGTCATCACCGTTTTACTCGAGGAGGAGGCAACCTGGGCAAGTCCATCTCCCCACGTCGCAGTTGGAGCCCTGACCCGCCCACTTCCCCAGGGGCCCAGTTCTTGTCGAGGTCCTCAAAAAAAAATAGTGACAAATTCTCGTCCAGTTCTTGGAGGATGGAAGCCACACTCAGGCGTTTTCATCTGACATCTGGATCGCGGGTCTCTAACCAGTATTGAGACTGTAAAGTGCAGAAAAGGTTCCCGTGGAGTCTCAGGACTTGCAGTTCGGAAGACCCAGGTTCGGGTGAACCGAAGTGTGTTCCAAAGAACGGAGCAAAGGGCTTGGGTTTAAGAAAGAAAAACCCCCAAAACCTTTGGTGCGGGCAAGCGTCAAGGTCCATAGTCAATTGATCAACTTGCGGCATCGCTGTGGGTGGTCTGTAGGCTCCATTTCCCTCGTAGAATTTACCGTGAATTCACTTGATTAAGAACTGGCCTACTCTGGTGTCTTTGACCACAAACTAGTTAGGGTTCTGTGGGGGAGTAACAACAAAAACCCTACTTCACCTCCTGGGAAGAATGTTTCAATTGTAATGGTAAATGAATTGAGTTTTCTTTGTTGCCAAAAAGGAACTAGATTTTGGGCTCACCCTTTTAGAGTATTTCTGGGAGAAATCTATTTATAAAACACTTGCCCTTTTGGTACGTGTGTAAATCTTTTGAAAGACTGAGAGAGCCATCTTGTCAGCTTTACAATTTAGAAGTGTTTTTCTTAAAAGCCCCTTTCCAGCCACGTCTTTGAAATGTTACCAGCTGCCAAAGCCAAGGAACCTGCCTGGATCCCAGCTGTCTGGATCCAGCCCCTGGCTGTGAAAGAAACAAAAGGATGTAGAAAGGGAAAATGAATTTAATACAGTTTGATCAAACGAGGGGAGAAGCCACTAGATTTCCTCCATCCCCAGAACGGTTACATAGGTGGATTTAGCTAGGCTCTGCTAGTGAAGGAACAGGTCAGTTTTAACTTCCTTAGCATTAGCCTGGGCCAGGGAGTAGTTTTCTAGTTTCCATTTTCAGCATGAGGAAGTTGAAGAACTACAACAAATTAGATTTTAATTTGAAAGGGGCCCTGTTTCATCCCAATCTCCCTGTCACAGGGACTCTTAGTGCCTACCTCCAAATTGTCCTGCTTGTCAGAAACAAAAAGGTTTTTTGTTGTTGTTGTTGTTTATTTTGTTTTTTGTTACCCAGGGAAGCTTAACCACTGAACCACATCTCCAGACCTTTTTAGTATTTTATTTAGAAACAGGGTCTCACTGAGTTGCTTAGCGCCTCGCTTTGGCTGAAGCTGGCTTTGAACTTGCAATCCTGCTGCCTCAGCCTCCAGAGCTGCTGGGATTACAGGCATGTGCCACTGTGCCTAGCTTTAATTTTTCTTTCTGACAAAAGCAATTAATAGCACAGTGTTTACCCCAATACCAGGTGAGTTTAGGATGAATTATGAAAAATTGTATGGCAAACAATGCCAAATCCTTATTTCATTTCACAAGAAGACAAGTTATCATTAACCTTGTGAACAAGTATGTAATGAGTTATATCTGCTTAACTACATTAAAAAGTGATATTTCTAAGGGTAGATTCAATCCCTGGACTCAATCTCTAGTGAAAGACCCTAACCCAGTTAGCCCAGTTACCTAAGGCCAAGATATGAAACCAAGATACCAGGCACACCATAAACAGGTTCAGGCGCCAGGCATGCTTTCCAGACAACTGGTTGAAGAACAGAGCACCCACATCCTGGAGCATGAATGAATAAGCAGGAACAGATAAGCAGGAACAGAAAGAATAGAATGCAGACCTGTGGTTTTTGGAATGCAGACCTGTACCCCCTAGGTGGCCTATATGCTAGATTTAAACAAACCAATAAGAAACCTGTTGCTTCCCGAAACCTGTCCTAAACCCTATAAAAATCTCTGTATCCCCAAGCCCCGTGTGCCAGTTCACCAAAGCTCCGGCTGAGGTTCTGCTGGGCACCCGCAGGCGCCTGTGTCCCAATAAAACCTCTTGCTTTTGCAGCCAGTGTTTCGTGTGATTCTCCTTGGACAGGGATACCGGGGGTCTTTCATTGGACGGGGGTCTTTCACTAGTACCTAAAAAAAAAAAAAGATTTCAATTTCTGTCTTTGGAATCTCATTAAGAGATTGCTTATGATGTGTTTTAGCCTGGTTTAATGTTATTCAATAATAAAAAGTGCTTTCTATGTTTGTAAGAAGAATCTTCCTGGTTGGTGTTAACACAAAATGACTCAGCTGGGTATAAACTTCTCAGATCAGCACAGCCTTTATTCAGTGATGAAATCATACATCTGATGGACCCACTTTCCTGGTGGAGAATGGCCAAAGGGGCAGTCTGTGCTTATGTAGTTTACACTGCAAGGTGACTTAATTATTGACAGAGCGTGTCTAATAGAGGTTCTAGGGTCAGCATTCAGTATTCATCTCTTTCCCTCCTGGGTCCCTTTATATTGTCAATGGGAAAGGATTTATTTTGGGAAGGATGGATGCTTTGGCTTCTTTCCAGAGACTGCTATCCTAGACTTAATGGATATTTTCCTCCCCAGTGATTGTCTTGCCACTGGATGATGTTTGCTTCCTTTCTAGGACTTGGTTGTCACTGGGAAAGACTATTGGAAAAGGATCAATGTTTTCAATGTGCTGCCTTCTTCCTCACGTCCTCTTCCCAGGCCACACTATTTTCCGATTTGTCATTTTCCATATCTTACAGTTGGCAGAAATTTTTGGTTTTTGTTTTTTCCATCATCCTTCTTTCCACTCTGTTATTTATCTTCACCTTCCCTATGTCAGCCTTCTGAGACTTCTCTGTCCTGCTCAAGAGTCAGAGAAAATGGCCAAAAGCCATTGTGAGCCAGGAGAGAGAGAAAAAAATCTTCCTGAAATGCTGTTCTAGCTGTCATTGAGAGTCACCCATCCCTTTTCTTGTCTGTGCCCATTGTAACTGTTACTCAGCATATGAAAAACTGAGCCAGTTTAAATAAACATACAAACCGGAGTGGAAAATCTCTGTCCCTTCTGCTCATTTTTCTCTGAACCTAAAATCTCTCTAAAAATGAATTGTATTTATTTGAAAAATAAAACAGAAGAAAAGTTAAGAGAACTTTGCAGAGTTTTTACTGGTTCTTGCCCCACTCCCTTCCTGGCTTAGCATCTATCTTAAACCTATATTCACAGCATGAACCTTTGGTTCCTGCTTCCCTCCAAAGGAAGCAGAGCAAAACTTCACAAAGAATTGTATTACTGAGCCAGGCTCCCAGCGACTAGGGAGACTGAGACAGGAGGATTGCAAATTTGAGCCCAGTCGCAACAATTTAGGCCCCAAGAAACTTAATGAGAACCTATCTTAAAAAAATAAAAAGGGCTGGGGACGTGGCTCAAGCGGTAGCATGCTCGCCTGGCATGCGTGCGGCCTGGGTTCGATCCTCAGCACCACATACAAACAAAGATGTTGTGTCTGCCGAGGGCTAAAAAA